TATATTCTGATCATGCGGCGGTAACTAGATTGTACTCTGGAAAAAATTTATCCCCAAGGTTAATAAGATGGGCACTCAAGCTGCAAGAATATAATCTGGTAATCAAGCATACCCCCGGAAAGGAAAATATCGTAGCAGATGCCCTGTCACGAATTAAATTAGACGAACAGGGTAATACCGTAAAAGTTGCAATGCTGACAGCGTGTACAATAAATTCCCGAGAAACTGTAATAACCGAACTGGGTAAGGATCCTGAGTTTGGAAGTATTTATGAGTATTTGAAGGATCCTGAAAATTTTAGCCACCAAGATATTGTGGCGATAAGAAATAGGGCGGCCCATTACGAACTAATAGATGGTCTATTATTTTATACAAAAACTACGAATTCCAACAACGAATTTCGACCTGTTATCCCAGCTAGTCTTAGATTAAATATCCTGCAAGAGCTCCATGACAGCCCTTTAGCTTCTCATGCTGGTATTCGAAAAACTACTCAACGCGTACGCGAGGCAGTCTACTTTCCTGAACTGCAAAAGTTAACAAGGGCGTATGTCCAGTCCTGCCCAACATGTCAAGCCGTTAATTATATTAATTTCCGCCCGGCCGGGTTTCTAAATAGTATTAAATCCGAATTTCCAAATGAAATAATCGGCATCGATTTATTGGGCCCTTTCCCAAAAAGTCAGTTAAACAAAAGTCGCTATCTCCTTGTTATAGTTGATCATTTTAGTAAATGGACCGAAATTGTTCCCTTAAAACGAGCCTCCGCGAAATTAGTTACCGATTCTATTTTAAATAAATATATTTTAAAATACGGGGCGCCCCTAAAAGTTATATCGGATAATGGTCCTCAATTTGTAAGTAATATATTTGAAGACATGTGCCAAAAACTGGGCATACGTCATTTAAAAATGGTCCCGTATCGGCCGCAATCAAATATAGCGGAACGGGTCAACAGAAATATAGTGAAAATTATCCGTAGTTATGTTAAAAATTTTCATAAAAGCTGGGATAACTATGTCAATGAATTTGCTTTCGCCCTTAGGACCGCAAAACATGATACAACGGGCAAAACTCCTGCTGAGTTATTTCTAGGCAGAAAGATTATAACACCGTTAGATAAACTATTTTATGTGCAACAAAGAGCCCCAGAATTTAAAATGGGTGATATAGAAAAACTAATAAAAGAAGCAAAAAAGAATACGGAAGTAGCACAAAGAAAACAAAAATTGTATTATGACTTGAAACGACGGGGAGGGGAGTAACTTATAAAGTAGGGGATGAAGTTACTAAAAATTAAGCATTCACTTTCTTCAGCACCAGAAGATAAAACTGCCAAATTTTTTCCACGCTTTGAAGGACCATATGTTATAGAAAAAATAACTCACGCTGTTGTAGTGTTAAAGGCAAGAAATGGTGAAACCTGTTCCGCAAACATTGATCAAATAAAACCATTACTATCGATCGTAATAAAATGCAAATCTTTTCAGATCTTTTGCAGGATCCGGTACGGCAGACACCGCAGGTACAAGTTCCAGAGGTGGGAAAACGACAAGTACAAGGGCAAGCCAATGAGAGACAGAAGCAAGTGAAAAGAAAATTGCCCCGCGGAAAAATTGAAGGTACAAAGAAAAAGAAGCCGTTCCACCGTCCAAAAAACAGAGTTCACGAAACACCCCAGAATGAAGAAGGGAGAAGGACGACGTATGTGGAAAAGACCGGGAGAAAGGACGGCAACTATAACCCGGCTGTGAAACGGAAGATTGACTCATCCGACAGAACTCTCCGCAGCAAAAGTCGCCGAACTGCGGAAGGGCCATCAGCGGCGGAGGAAAAAGTACAAGAAAAATTTGAACGGCCAACAACGAGGTCCAAGCAGGATCACGACAGAAGTTTCCCGGTTCCACCAAGACCAGCTGCCTTCAAACGGCCAAGACCACAAGCAGAGGACAGAAGGAAGATGTTCAAGGGTGGCCGTAGTGGTGAAAAACGGAAGCTTCCAGAGGAAAGCACTGAAGGGCGAGCCCGTACAAGAAGGAGGATCAACCAAGCTACGGTCTGCAGCACCTTTAAAGACTGGGCCCAGAAAAGGATGTCTGAATATTACAAAGATAAGTAAAATTTTATGTTACTTTACAAACTTAAGTTAATCTTTCATTCTTACTGCAAGTGGCAGATTTCAAGAAGTTTTACCTCATGCGAGGTCTACCTTTATCGCCAAAAGGGCGAGAAATGAGTTGTGACCGATTTTCTTATTATGTTTTTCAATTACTCGCGCGTAAAACTAAAGTTGATGTATAATAGCGTTGTGTAAAGACTTAAATATTGTAAAAAGTTATTGTATAAATTTTATTTAAAACATTCTAACAAGAAAGAAGTTTTAGTCTGAAAGACTTTTTGAAATGTAGTATTATTTCAATGTAGAAAGAATTGGCACTTGCTTTGAAAAGAATAGAAGTTAACAATGTACTACTAATGTATGTTTTCAAATGTGTAAAATTAACGGCATCTTGATATGTTCTTGTATACATGTGAACTGTTATTTTGAATGTTTAGAAATACCGTGATATGGTAAAAGTGAAAGTAATGTTAAAAATTTGTTATTCGTGTGACTGTAAAGATTAAATCATGGTGAATATGTGTTAAAGGTTGAATGATGATGTAGTTAGGCTCTCTGACGCTACACTTTAGAGTTAGCCACTTTCAGAATAGTACCTCAGGGTCTAGAGTTGAAATTAGGGTGTGTTAAGAGGTCTCGTTATGTTGAATTTTAACACGTTAGTGTTTTGATTGTAGGAGGAAGTGTTGAACACATAGACAGAAACACATTCGTGTTTGGTGTTTTTACAACACATGTCAGAGAGCACGGGGAGAGATAATTAAAATAGTCATGAATGAAATAAGAATGTTAAGAAAAGTATATTCTATATGTTATTTGCAATGTCATTCTGTAACATTTCATTAAACTAGTTTTCCTTCCAGATCTCTGGAAGGAACCAGAATTGAATAAAGCTCCTGTTTTGATGCAGTACAGATGAAAAAGAAAAAAGATTGTTGTATATTCCGGGAGCTGCTATTGTAACAAATTTCTTTCTTTTAAAATTTTCTAGTTTCTAGCTAAGTTATGATTGTAAAAGGTTGGCCTCGCGTTAGTTTCTAGAGCTAAAAGTTTTCAACAAGGTCGTTTTAGACCTCAGTTTCAAACTAATTAACTCTGGCGGGAAGTATGTAAGGATCTTAAGTTTTACTAACGTTTATTTTATTTTAAATCTTTACTATCACTTCTTATTTTCTACTTCCGGCCAGAATTATAAGCGTGAAGGAGTTTTTATGCAAAGTTGTCTGGCGAACGCCAAGTATTTAAGTGTGGCCTTTTTGCCAAGCAGAAGAGAGGAAGCCGTGAGTTCGAAGCAGGCCGCTTACCTTAGAAGTTACGCAGTTGCTACTTTGCCTTCCAGGCCAGAGGTTTTAATCCTCTTGATAAATTAAACGTATTGTAGTGTTCACAGTCTCTGTGCTACATACGCTTCCTGTTATTATAAGGCCAATCTTATTCTAAAGTTAAATTAGAGTTTAGTTTTATTTTGATATCTTTTAAGTTAGACCCCGAGTGGAGGGTCATTGTATTCCGAAGTACGGAAGTCATTGTATATAAAGAAAAAAATAAAGGGTTTTGTATACCCTTCGTCTGTATCCTGTCTACTTACTACAATTAGTGAACATAGCTTTAGTAAGCTCTCTGTTCTAGTCAGGTCATTGTATGTTTCCGAAGAAGGTTAGAAGAAACATTGAACCTGATAATCTTCTAAAGTTAAAATTGAGTTTAATTTATTTTTATACCTTTACGCGAGCTCTTGCCGTAGTTAGAGGAGGGCTTGGAACACATGCCTGTTTACCTGTGTTAGACACCAAGCGTTCCAGTCCTCCGTAACCTACCTACCTACCTACTGATAGTATGACATAGTTTCCAGCACCTGAATCTCATAAAACACGCCTGAGATGCACTCTGCAAGATTATATTGTTCAAAGACAGAACACTTCTAAAACCACACAGAGGCTCAAAATTGTCCTGAGAGACAAATAATAGATAATCCTTTAAGCTGTTCACAACATCTTAGTGGGCAGTATGCGTAACAGATGCCAGGTATATATTAGCGTCCGAGGAGGTCACATTTCATACTAATGGGCTCGTATCTGGAATTCACTTTAAAGTTGAAATGTTTCTTTACTGTTAACATCTACAGTCGACCTCTTTCTGGGAACCATATATTATTTATAATTGAAAACAATTTTGTTTTGCAGCTGAAACATTTAGGAGCGAAATTTAACTAGTCAGAAAATTTCTCTCATTTAAAAATCTTTGACATTTTTCAATACTGAGCACCTGAAAATTGTATCTCTGAATAAAATGATGATGTCAACTGCGCAATTTCTTCCATAAATAAAATATGTTATTTTGAAACCTGGTTAGCCTTTATAAACCCCGCCCTTTCCGATTTCTTTCACTGCTTCAGAGCTTGCATTTAGTGACTTTAAAATAAAATTCCAACGTTAAGTTTTGCATAATATGTAGCATAATCTTTAAAATTTGTATATTCTTAAAAAAAGTGCTATTTGTTTTAATCTTCCAACTTTAGTAGTGCGAATATGGGATACTTACGATTATGATAATAAATAAAGTAATTAATCTGTAAAGAAAACAATAATTATTTAACAGCTCTAAACGATGATGTTTTACGGTTTTTTATAAATTAGGTTTAGCAACAAATTTATGTCACATTTCAGAAGAAACTCGTTTGGAACAGTCTCTGTCTTTGTTTAATTACATAAGCGAAATTCCATTTTCTTCTTCAAAGGGTTAAGAATTGCTTGATCTCATATAGCAACGAATTTGCCATATTTTGTTTCATATTTTTGCCTATATTTCTGACATAGTCCTCTTCTGCGGTATTTAAGATATTTATATGTTGTTTTTGTAATAGTTATATAAAAAAGACTACTTTAAAATACACATTTTAATACTAACTAAATTTAATACTTAAAAATTTATGTTTGTCTTCTAGAAGCTTTCATTTCTTATTTTTGCTGTCATTCAACAAACACCACTTTTATATTCACTGATATCCTAAGGCTAAGTGAAATATAATAAAATATTTAATAAGTCTTTAAATTCTTAGAAATAAATTTCCTTTGATTAAGTAATTTTTCGTTTTAGTATACCTACAGTAAAGTTCAATGATTCGCTTTTTAGGTGACCTAGCAGTTCTGTAGAATATCAGGCTGAGCTACAGAATGTAAGTCTTCTGAAAGTGGTTTAGTTGATTCATCGCTACCACAAATTCTGTCTTTTAGAAATCCGTAAGATCGTTTGGAGGTACTCCGTGCCCAGCTGAAAGGAAAATATATAGTGTATACATAACTCATCGAAAATAATGCATTCAGCTTCCATATTATTAATCATCTACATGCATTTTGCATAATATTACCGCAAAAAATTAAAATGCTATTTTAAATTGTGTTATCAAATGTTCTATAAAACATTCTTAACTAAAATTTGTGGTTAATAGTATAACACACACACATTTGCGAAATATTAGTACAGTCAAGAGAGGGATAAATATTTAACATCATGTATATCACACAACGATTTGATCTTAAAATGTTCTATAGATATTGTAACGTTGCGCGCCTACAACTTGCACGCAACCAAGAGGTGACTGTGACAACTGGATAAAATACAGAATCTTGTGAAGGGTTTAAGTCCCTTTTTATTCAACGTAATACATTACAATTGCGTGCTCTTGACGCTCACAGACTGCGCCTACTTGGCGGTCAAATAAAAATAATAACCTGAAAAGAAACTAAAGACAAGATTCTAACTACGAGGCTCTCTAAAAATAACTAACTCAACTCACCGTTTTACACAATACCGCTGCTAATTCAGCAGACTTGAAGCTCACTTGAACGATTAACACTACTTCCCGCCAAGCACATAGGCCGAAACGCGGGGTTCTTCAATTCTCGCTAACTACCTCCGCGCTCGTGAAGTAAGAATATCACACACCGAACTCGTTTCCTTCCTATTTAAATCCTAATACTTCCGCTGATAATTTGAATCCTTGCGCGTTCTACTAAAATTTACATATTCTGGCATTGGCAGTTCCAGGGAAAAGTAAGGCTTGACAGGAAAGATAGTTTAAACTTAAAATAAATGTTAGTTAAAATAAATATAAACCCTACATTTTGCCGCTGCCAGAATTTGGAAAACTTGGAAGCAGGTCCTACAAACGACCTGTTGTAAGTTTCTCTAATTCTGAACTAACTGGCGAGAACCTCGTTTACACAAAAAAATCTTATGTAACAAATTGTATACTAAATTCTGTTGATCGTTATAAAGCTCTCTTCTTACAGCAACTTTTCCTGGACTTCATCAATCAATCTTGGTCTTTCCTTCCAGCATCTGGAAGGAATAAGTATCAGTATCTTTCTACATACATTATAATTTACACTTTCTTGACACAATAAATTTTTTGTTTTTAAACGATTCGTTTTTCTTAGTTATTGCTTACTTCACATTCATTCAATTTTTCAAGCATTAATTTAACTTTACCCTGGCTCTCCACCATGTGTGGTGTCAAACGGGAATATTCGTGTTTTAGTCTTACAACACTTCCCCTAACCACCATGATTTGTTAGAATTCAACGACCAAATAGACACACCTTACTCGACATTCTACAACTCAATGAGCTACTTTAATAGTCTTAAAAATTCAAATGTAGGTGGAGAACCCTACAAAACACATTCATTCTAACTTCCCCCTCATTCATCTTTAAACATGCAGGCTTTCGCTCTAAAGCATGACTTTATCTACAATTTAATACTTAAATTTTGACTTCATTGATTTTAAGCATTCACTTTTAGCATCTACAATTTTATGCATTCACTTTTAGCATTTACAATTTTATGCTTCTAGACTAAATTCTACTTTTACATAACATTCAAGTATTTACGTACATTTACAAAATTTTAATACATATGATTTTTACAATTTACCATAAAATGAATAAGAGAAAATAAATTTTTACTTTACTCATTCTTCGCCAAGCTGGCGGCACTGAAACTAAAATTCTTATTATACACAAGAATACGAAGTTTATTTTTATCTTCGGCCAAATTTTGGCTTTAACATAACAGAATTAGTCTTTCGACCAACAGAAAATGCTTGTTTTAGCTTTTACACTTAAAGAAAATAATACTTTTGCCTTAGCTAAATAAAGTAAAACAAAACTAAGTCTCAACCGAGACATATTGACTTTCGTCAAAACATAGAACTTCGTACTTATGCATAACATTTCGGAACAAAAGAGAAAAAAAAATTTATAGAAGGTTTTAACTTATCTTTGAGTTTTCGATGCTTGAAACTCCGTCATTCGTTTTTGGCAGAATTGGTCCCAAGTTAGAGGTTTCATGGATGTTAATCTTCTCCTTACTGCCCTCCGAGTGTCGTCCACCGTTGACTTTTTCTTTTGCGTCCTCTACATGCTGGCCTCTTGGCGGAGTAATCGTCTGGTTGTTGGCCTTTCCGTTTTTCCCTGGGACGGCTGGTCTTGACGTCCTCCGGTCTGGAGTCCTTCTTGAATTTCTTCTGTTCGTCGTATTTTTGTGCCTCCTGTTGTCGTTTCAGTTTCCGGAACGGCGGCCTTGCTGGCACCTGACTCTGTGGCCGTGTGCGCGTTCTCCTTGATGTGTAATTTCTCCTGCTATCCTTTGTAGGTGGTGTTTTTCTCTTTACCACGGTTTCTTTACCCGGTGCATCTGTATTTTTGTTTTTCTTAAACGCTGGAGTTTGAAATTATTTTTTCTTTTTGATACCGACGTCCGGGTTGTAGAAGGGCTAGGTCTCTCTTCAGTTCTCTGTTTCTTGGGTGGTGGAATAGTTGTTATTGTCTCTGGACCTTCTACTTCGTTTAGACTTGAGTCCTGCAAGAAACTTTTAAGGATTTCAAAATCATTTGGATTATAGTATTTTTTCACCTGGTCGGGACTTGCTTTACAGATTTCCCCTCTCTCGTTCTTAAGATATAAGACTACTCCTTTGATTTCCTGAATTACATAGGGGCCTTCAAACTTTGGAGCTAGCTTTGCCGTAAAATTGTCTGGGGCACTTGATAAAGAAAATTTCCGCTTCAATACTTTATCCCCAACTTTAAATCTGCTTCACGGCGTTTTCTATCGTAATAGTATAGTTTCTGCTCTATTTCTTGCCGTATCCGAGCTTTTAAGCGCCTGATCAATAACTTTTGCACATCTTTTTGTTTTTAAACTCCTGCTCTCTTTGTTGCACAAAGAATAATTTATCTAAAGGCGTAATTAACTTTCTGTCCTAAAAATAATTCTGCTGGAGTTTTTCCCGTAGTATCATGATTGTGCCGTTCTTAAAGCATAAGCTAATTCATTTATGTAGCCATCCCAGCGCTTGTGATGTGTGCTCACGTAACTGCGAATTATTTTTACTATGTTTTTATTAACTCTTTCTGCTATGTTAGCCTGTGGTCTATACGGAACCATTTTGATATGGCGTATGCCAAGTCCATTGCATATGTTTTCAAATATTTGACTAATGAATTGTTTTCCGTTATCGCTAATGACTTTTATCGGTGCACCGTATTTTAAAATGTATCTGTGTAAGAATGCATCTGCGACTGTTTTGGCTGACGCGCGTTTAAGTGGAACAATTTCTGTCCATTTTGAAAAATGATCTACTATTACTAAAAGAAAACGATTTTTATTTAACTCGCTCTGGGGGAAGATCTATGCCTAAAATTTCATTCGGAAATGTAGCGCGAATGCTATTTAAGTACCCGGCCGGGCTGTAATTAATATCATTTATTAACTGACATTGATTGCAGGACCTGACATACGCCGTTACTATTTTGTATAATTGCGGGAAATATACCGCCTCGCGTACCCTTTTTAAAGTCTTTCTGACCCCGAGGTGGCCGGCTGTTTTTGCTTCGTGCAACTCCTTCAAAATGCTTAATCGAAGCGAGGCTGGGATGACTGGCTTATACTCAAGATTTTCGTTTGTTGTTTTCGTATAAAATAATAAATTATCTATTATTTTATAGTTTTTTTGCTCTATTTCTTATCGCATCGATATCTGTGTGCTCAAAGCTTTCGGGGTCTTTCAAATAAGCATAGATATTTCCAAATTCAGGATCAGCTTTCAGTTCAGTAATAACCGTATCTCTAGAATCTAAAATTTTTGAAGTCAACACAGCGCATTTAAGTTCATTTCCTTCATCGTCCAGTTTTATACGAGAAAGTGCGTCAGCTACATTGTTTTCCTTACCCGGTTTATATTTTATTGTGATATTATATTCTTGGAGTTTTAAAGCCCATCTTATTAACCTGGGCGTTAGGTTTTTCCCCGAGTAAAGTCTACCAACAGCCGCATGATCCGAAAAGACTGTTACTGGCGATTTGCCGAAATAAACTCGAAATTTGTGTACAGCCATTAATACGGCTAATGTTTCTCTTTCTGTAGCTGTATAATTCCTTTGTGTCTGATTCAACGTTTTACTAAAAAATGCCAGAGGATGGTTATTTTGCATAAGAACCGCACCCACCGCATAGTCTGACGCATCTGCTGCAATTTCCAGGTTTTCGTCCCCCTCCGGGAATTTTAAAACAGGGGCATTAATGAGCGCTTCTTTTAATCTTTCAAAAGCTGTGTTAGCTTCCGCTGTCCACGTAAATTTACTCTTTTTTCTTTTGATTACTAAGAGTGGTTCAACAATATTAGCGAAATCTTTTATGAAAGATCGATAGTAAGAACATAACCCAAGGAAAGACGAAAGTTTCTTGGCGGTGTTGGGCGGTGGGAAATTCTTAATAGCTTTTTATTTTTGAATCTTGCGTTTCTATACCCTTTTGCGAAATTTTATAACCGAGATATTTAAGTTCTTTAGTTGCGAACTTGCATTTTGAGGCGTTAATTGTAAGACCGGCCTCTTTTAATAATTTAAAAACTTGTTCTAGATCATTAATATGTTGTTCCAACGTACTACTCGTTATAATTATATCATCTAGATAAATTAAAGTTGATTTTCCTAGGACAGGCTTTAGAACAATGTCCATAGCTCTCTGGAATGTTGATGGGGCCCCACACAACCCAAAAGGCATGCGTAAAAATGCATAAGTGCCCGATTTTGTTATAAACGCGGTTTTATGTATATCTTCGGGTCTCATAGCTATTTGATAGTAGCCAGACGTTAAGTCCAAAGTAGACATATATCTTGTCGATTTGATCTGTCTAATGATCTCGTCTATAACCGGCAAAGGGTAAACTGGAAATTTAGTAATACTATTTAGTTTTCTGTAATCAA